ACTTGCCGTTTGAATAGTTAACATTTCTTCGGACTCAACTTGAGGTTGGCACTCTGAATCTTCATGAGCACGCGTTCCAGGTATTGAAGGTGTTCCTCAAACGTACGGCCCACGATGATGATGTCATCCAAGTAGACCAGACAGGCATCGCCAATTAGCCCGGTAAGTACAAGCTCCATCAGCCTTTCAAACGTTGCTGGAGCATTGCACAATCCAAACGGCATTACTTCAAATTGCCACAGACCCTTTCCCGTCGAGAACGCAGTTTTCTCCTTGTCCTTAGGATAATTTTTCACAATTTCAACTTACTAGTAGCCACTTTTTAGATCCAGCGTGTGAAACCACTTTACTCCTGTAAGCATGTCCAGCGTATCATCAATTCTTGGCAAGGGATAACTCCTTTCAAAGACTGTCCTTCTTTGTAACGTCGTTCAGACGGCGGTAATCAACACAGAACCGCATGCTGCCGTCCTTCTTCTTTACCAGCACCACAGGTGAACACCATGGACTAGATGAAGGTTCAATATCACCATCCTTCACCATTCCCTCAATCATGGTTTCCACTTCCTTTTCACGTGCTACCGGCAATCTTCTTGGCCGCTGACGGATAGGCAATTCTTCTCCTGTGTTTATTTTGTGTTGAACTAAGCCAGTCTTTCCTATGTCAGCATCGTTTGATGAGAATACATCGGCGTGCTTGAGTAACAACTTCTTTGCCTTGACCATTTCGTTCGGGGAGAGAACGCTGCGACAGTCTTCTAAAAGTGTGCTCACTCTCGTTTCTGAATCCTTGCTGGGGGTCCCACTCGATAGATATTGGCACCGACGTAACCAATCCACTTCCTCACAAGTACCAACCAGTGTGCCTTTTTCTATAATCTGTTCCTGGTCACAAAGGTTCAGCACACGTACTCCTGAGATGTCAGTGGTTCTGACCAAGGTTCGAGCTACTTTCCATGGAAGGTCATTGTTTACCCTTTCCACAAGTACACAACGGTGAGCTTGCCCAGCGTTTCGAGGAAGACTAACCGGCACATATCGTTTCCGATCTCGGCGGAAGAACAATCTTCTTAATGCTGTACACGTTCTCTGGTAACGCACCTTCCATAAAAAGTTCCTTCTGTCCACATTTCAAAACACCCTGCTTAACAACGATCTCACAACAATTATTCCTCATAAAGTCTAGGCCCAGGATGCAATCGTCCATTATATCAGCCACGATGACATTATGCAGGTAGATCATGTTGCCGGTATACGTTGACCGGTGGCTGTTACCAAATTAATGCGTTCTCGGTTGTATGCGGAGTCCCCAAGGAACTGTCTTATAAGTTGGGAACTAACAACCGTGCGAGAGGCTCCAGTGTCTATGGTCAGTTTACACGGAATTCCGTTGATCTCGCCCTTGATGATTAGGCTGTTCCCATCATGAGTTTGTGAGATTGAGATCCTTGGGGCTCTTTTAACATCAGCCAGCACCCGCCCCGCAGTTATGGCTTTTACTCGTTTCCTTGCTGCTGCTGGGCGAGGCTGTTATACCCTCCTGATATCGTTCACCTTCCCTTTCTACGGTTCGCTTAGGGCAGCGGGATCGAAGATGGCCCCTTTCCCCACAGCCATAGCACCTATTATATTAGCCTCCTTTATTGCGGTCGCGAACCGTAGCTGCTGCAACCTCCCTGACGCGATAGGAGCGAAGATCCTGCCACACGGCTTCCACCTCCAGTGCATGGGCTAAGGTGTCCTTAAGCGTCTCGTGGTGCCCGAGCCTCACAGCAGCTCTGACCTCAAGGTCGCGGATGCCGTCGATGAATGTCTGCACCAGGTTCCCTTCAATGAGCGCAGGTACAGACTGGTATGCTTTTCGAACCATCTTCTCCACCTCAAGGGCCCACTGCTGAAGGTTTTCGTTGCTGCATTGCACACGATCTTTAAGCTGCGCGCGAAAGACGTGTTCCAGATGGGCGTCGCCATATCTCGCCTCCAATGCCTCAAGGAGCTGCCTGTAGGTCACTTTCTTACCGAGAGCTTCCAACACAGTTAAGGCTTGGTCGCGCAAGTCTAGGGTGAGTGCAGTCATGGCCTGGCTTTTATTCCAGCCGTTCGCCTCCATGACGGCCTCGAACTGGATTTTGTAGGCCGACCAGGAAGAAGTCCCGTTGAACGGTGGCACCTTGAACCCACGTAGTGAAGGTGTTGTAGGGCTTTAATTCCATCCCCCAGTTTGAGATCGTCCAGCGTTTTCTTCACGTCAGCCATCACGTTGTCAACCCGATTGTTCACTTGGTCGATTCGGGTTTCAGCTTTCTCGATTCGGGTTTCAGCTTTCGCGATTTGTGTTTCAGCTTCCGACAGGCGGTTGTCATGATGAGCAATACTATCCTTCACCTCCTTTATCTCCTTCCCGAAGGTAGCGTGAAGGTCCTCTATGAGGAGCATCTGCTCTTCCAACCGACGTGCCTGTTCCTCTTGTCCGCCCGCAGCTGCTCTTCCAAACGATGGACCTGTTCCTCTTGTCCGACCCGCAGCTGCTCTTCCAACCGACGGACCTGTTCCTCCTGTCGACGAGCCTGTTCGTCTTGTCGGCGAGCCTGTTCTTCCTGCTGCTCTTTCAACCAACGGGCCTGTTCCTGCAGCATCATCATGAGAGCACCTAATTCAGGTGCTGCAGGTGTAGGGGCTCTTGACGGGCCATCCTCCGTGGCTGGTAGTTGGCCCCCCGACGTCTGCGGTGTTGCACCACCAAATCTTCTCTGGTCCGTCTCCCGCTGGCGTTGACTTCGGGTACGGACACCCTCCGTTTCCTCCTTAGGTAAAATCGGCATGACTTGATCCCACTTCTGACACCAATTGTTACGAGCTTGAGATTCGTGACAATAAAAACTGCCGATTGAATTACCAAAATTTACACTTTTATTACCGAACACCAATTGTTAAAAGATTAGTTATGTCATTTTCCGGAAAGCTCTCCTCGCTCTGTTACCCGACACTAGATGGCGCTAGTGCCAGACGTCAATTTAGGCGCGCAACAGTTTAATATCCAAGAATAATAGCTAATAAACTTATTAACTCTTTTGTTGGGAGATTAAGCGGGAATTTGACCGTCGACGGCTTGTTGCTCCTGTTTTATCATTCGAATAATGGTTTGAAGTGAATTTTGATACGTAAAAGTGAATTCTGTGTATTAAGTGTCTGCACATGTGAACTATTAGAAAAAACGACAAAACAAGTATTATGATGTTGATATAAACCTCAAGTTATTTTGATCGCTTAGGCACCTTATGAACTTGAGTGACAGTAATCCTCAACTGTCCACTGGGTTGAACTGTCGTCAAAATCTCCTAAAAACTCCGCAATATGATGCATCAGCATATCGTGAAGAAAAAAATCTATATAAATGAAAACATGGCTTAAAAGACTAGCATCCAAGCCAAAACTCCCAACAAGCTAATATATCTTAAGCGTATCACAGAAATCGTATCAAGACAATAGAAGTCGCATAGACGCGTGACCTTGTTGCCGCTCATATGGGTAGACGAACATGATTCACCATTTTGTGATTTAGTTGTGCGGGGAACGTCATTGGTGACGTTTTGTTATTATAAATTTATAATGGTGCACTGCAGCATAATCAGTTGTAAAAACTCATCAAGGACGTGTAATTAAACTCATTTATTATTTTTCGTATTGTACAATTACCATTGCTGCTTTTGTTCTACCGTAATACGCGACACACGCGACGTTGACAAACTCGCCAAGCAATGTAATGTGAAACATTAGATGTCATTGTGCATTGCGTATGTTTATACCTAATTCGGTAAGATATGGCGACATCGGTTTTGGAAGTAATCGAGCGCTAATTCATTTCTATTGTCTTAATATTACGATTTCTGTGGAAAGCATCATACTCGTCTGTGTATATAGTGATCTGTGCACAGATTTAGAACATAGATAAACAGATTTAACTTAGAACTATGGAATGTAGAGGTAAGGAGAACAATCTCTCATAGGAGAATAGTTGAAAAAGTGTCCATCTGTAAGCAATAAATAACAGTTTAAAAACTATCCACAATAGCGCTGGAGTAGCTACAGGGTATGAAATGAACTTAGCAGTTGTCGACGGTGTGAGATGTACTGCTAAACTGCTCAGTAGCTCTAAAATCTAAAATAATTTTATTTTGTAAATAAACCTCGAAAAAGTCGTCTATCCCACTAATATTTTTCGGCGCGTTCTTTAAAATTAACCGGTAGCTATAGTAGCGCCACCCTTATTTAACGGTTTTCTACGGACACTTTTTAATACACAGTACTCCTTACCTCTACTCTCTTACACTCATACTCATACTCACACTCACCCTCCATAGTTAGAACCTAAGCCTATGGAGTGTAGAGAAGTAAGGAGTACAGACTGTGTTTTAAAAAGTGTCCAGAGAAAACCATTAAATAAGGGTGGCGCCACTATAGCTACGGGTTAAATTTTAAAGAACGTGCCAAAAATATTAGTGGGATAGACGACTTTTCCGAGGTTTATTTACTAAATAAAATTATTTTAGATTTTAGAGCTATTGAACAGTTTAACAGCACACTTCAAACCGTCGACAACTGCTAAGTTCATTTCATCCCAGTAGCTACTCCAGCGCTGTTGAGGAGAGGTTTTGAACTGTTATTTACCGCTTAAAGATGGACTCTTTTTCAACTATTCTACTATGGGAGTTGGTACTCCTTACTTCTACACTCCATACCTAAGCCTATGGATCTGTGACATCTGTGATAAGTGACTCAGAAAGGCTAGAACCCAGAGCCGTAAAGCCAGTTTAATAAGAAAAAATGTGTAAGTGATTAGAAGTGTCAAGTGTCGGTCGATTCGATTTGGATTTTGTTTACTTCATTTAATGTATTTGTAGGTTGATTACCAATGATATTCTTTTTCTTATAATATCATTGTTGATTACAGTAAAATTTTAATAGTTCCGTAGAAAACAGTTTTTACAAATAAACAAATAATGTATGACATACTTAGACCTGAACTAATATGGATTGAAGGGCGATGTTACAGAGTTAATGATACAAATACGGAGATTTCTGCCTTTCAAGAACATGATTTATATGAAAATGGTTAAGTTATGACTGTTAAACTGCCTTGGTATTAACTTATTTTTATAAATGTTAGAATGCACGCTTGTATGCTTGTATGAATGAGATGCCCATGGTTAGCTATAGTAGCATGTTTCACATGTGTGGTTATTCCAGACAAAAGTAACTTGATAGGACTTCAAAGAGCATATTATCACTAGGACTTTTTCTGTCTAGAAATCTGTGTATGTTGGTGTTAGTACCACTTTTTTACTTATTTTGCTCCAAGTACCTGTTAACTTTCTGTTGTGAAAGGTATGGTGAGTCAGTTTAAGGCTCTGAAGATAGTATCTTAGTCCTTAGAAGTGGTAGTGCACCTGAAGGCTTCTTTTAAAATTTATAAAATAAAATAAAAATTTTAAAAATATCTAATTGCATAAATGTAGGTTAATGTTCCTATAAATACTGATTCACAATTTATTTTACAGAAATGGCTTTTCAAGATGTAGGCGACGATGACATAGATGACAGATTTGAAATTGTTGAAATTGATAATAGGTTCTACACAAGCTTTCATGTTTCTAAGTTAGTATTTTTGTATTTTCCTTTTTATATTTATGAAGTGTCTAGTCATCTGCTAATTGGATAACTAATTTATTTTATTCATCCACTAATCGGATAGATTTTTGGGTGTCTATATGATTATCATGTGATTTATTTATTTTTATTCATCAGATATATTTTTAATTTGATAAATAAATAAAAATATTAGATAGTTGAATAAATATACTCGAATACTTATTCATTTGAACTACATTACACCAATCTTGCAATATTACAGTACAGTAATGGTAGGTTTAGGTACATTATATTGATATAATTGTTATGATTAATAAATTAAAATATAATATTAAAGAAATTAAATTTTTAATTTTGAAAATTATGGGATAATAAGTATTTTTTATTTATATGATAATCGTATGACTAGCAACAGTGAGTTTATACACCACATGATTCGATAAGTACCCACAATTCATCAATTTCGACCCCCACTACAAACTATGTTGTCCATAAGCAGAGGAATAAAAATAAAATAATTTAGTCATCCGATTGGCAGAAGAATAGCATTGTCCTTTCATTTAATTGATTATTGAACATATTAAAAAAAACTTATTTGTAGGCATTATTTTGGATCTATTATAGGGAAAAAAGGAATTATGAAAAGTAGAATTGAGAAAGATACCAAAACAAATATCAAAATTCCTAAGCAAGGCGAAGCAGGAGACATTGCCATATTTGGTCCAAGTGCATTAGTAAGTTAACCTTGATCTTCATAAAATTTTTAGTATTCATAAATATGTATATACTATTTGTCAAAATTAACTTTATTTTCAGAATGTGAAAGCAGCTTGTAGAAGGATTAATATAATTGTAATGTCTGCAAGAATGAAGCAAAAACCTACTCACTTTCTTTCAATTCCTTTAAATCACTCAAGTATTATAGAAAGATTTGAAAATTTTAAGGTATTTGAAAATGTGAAAATTTATCTAAGCTATATATTTTATAGTATCCTACTTAGGAGTGTTGAGTAATCAAAACATTTGCTGCATGCTCTTAAACTGCATGTCCTGATCTCCACCGATAGCAAGGTACAAATTTTATATGACATGTGTGCCACAATTGTGTGTCTCAGTAAAAGCAATTTGGCGTCTTTTAGAACAGGTTCTGTTATCAGATATTCTAATACTAATGTCAGCTTACTAGATTTAAGAAACTATTTTCTTTAAGATGAAAAAAAGAATAGACTTGTAAAAGAAAGTGATTTAACATGCATTATTTATTTAATACAATGATTGTAATTTCTGAAATTCCAGAACTGGGAATAAATAATCTGACCATGATCATATGTTAACACGCTTTTATTAGCTTGACCTGTATGTATGTATCTAACGGAATCTTTTAACTTCATTTTCACCTACTTCTAGGAGTCTGATTAATTTGAAAATTTGCTCAATGGTCAAAGGCCGATGACAATACAATAATCTCATAACTTTATATTAAAGCCCTGACTAGGATCATCAGGATAATAAAATATATTTAGATTAGTGGGCTGTATACCACTCATATTTTCTACGTTTTAGTTCGATTGCCATTAAAGCGTGTTGTTTTAGTTTTTTTAAACTATAATTTATAATTAAACTACTTTGTACTTAACTTACATGAAATGTATATGTCAAATAATATTATCATCAACATATATAAATTGCAGCTTTATTGAAATAACAAATTATAAAGAAAAAATTGTACTTGTCAACCTTACCAACCAACCAAAGCCAATGTTATTTTTCAGTAACTTTTATTGAATATTTTAAAATATCAAAACGGTAAACATTACTTTCACGTTTTTTTTAATAATTTGATATTATGTTTATTCACAGCAAAATGTTCTTCAAGAATGTTCAACTAAGGGCATTGATGAATCATTATTTATTCGGTCCTGCAAATTGCATCTCACTATTGGAGTTATGTGCCTGATGGATAATGAAGAAAGGTTACATGCATCTAAGCTTTTAAGTGAAGCAAAGGAAAATATTTTAATGTAAGTATTAGTTAATAAATTGAAAAGTTAATCACCAACATAGCAATAATACCAAGTTATGAAAAATATGTGATACAAACAGAATCTAAATTTTACCATAATTATAGATTACAGGGACATGCGCAGACTTGGTTACATCTTTTGAATTAGTACAATACACTAGATAAGAAAGAAGCTTACAGTTGTGTTAACTATTTAATACTTAACACAACTGTAAGCTTCTTCTTTCTCACTCGTCAGTAAGTTTATGATTTATCATTGTTTTACTAGTATATCATATAATATGAAATAAAAGGTTAATCATGAAATAAAAGGTTATTCCAACCGGGCTGGACAGGGTTCACGAAATTACAACATATCTTCTCATTACATTTACCTCAAAATTGGAAAATGAGGGTGTATAACCAGTGTGTGTTGCCAGTGATGACATGGATTTGATACATGGTACTTCACTGCTGGCTGTATGACGAAGGTTAAGGTCTTCAGGAAGCTATAAAGGGCTGCTACCCTTTGAGTTTTTCAGAATGAAATACTTAGTAATGAGGATATCTGCACTTGAACCAGTGTCACTGACATAGTCCAACAGATCAGTAAGCTAAAATGGCAATGGGTTGGCCATATAATTCAAAGAACTGACGTCTTTACGTGGTATAGTCATGCTGCAGCAATATTTATAGATGTACCAACTCGAGTTAACTTGAGTTGAAGTTCACATAACTCGATTTAGCAGGACAAATTACTTTTTATAAATTTGATTTTCTATCTAGCTCTTTGGTGGGTTAAGATAACTAAAATTACATTTTATTAGTATTAAACTTAGTAGGTAGGATTGAAATAAAAAGGTATATATAGTATGTATCACATACGTATTATGTATTTTTGGTTTTAATCTTAGTTAAGAAGTACCTGTTTTTAACAACTAGTCTTCACAAAAAATATCAGTCTAGCTTTAAGATGTAGGTACATAAGTTATTAATAGATTAATTATCACAGTCAAATATTTTAAAAAACTTAGCTATTATAAAATTCTAAATAACAAAATATTTTGTTTTTGCTCTTTGTTGATTTTTTTCATTTATTGCCTTTGATTAATTCGTTGCAATAGGAACATTTGTTAAATTATTATTACTCAAATTAGAATATTATTTACCTAGTTACCAAAATATAGGCTCACTTATTAAAAAAGTATTTCGATCAAGTATTTTCTGATTAAATAAAAGAAAACAATACTCAAATAATGAAATATAATTCTCAAATAACTAATTATTGCTTCTTCTAAATTAACATATAAGTAAGTTAGTATTTTCAGTAAAATATAATATTCTAAAAAAAAAACTAAAACTATTTTCTTGTCACTCAATAAAAAATATGTTAAATAAATGGACTAATGATAAATAATAAAGTGTAATCAGTACTTGTTAAAAAATAAATAAAGGTGTTAGACGGTTTCTTCTAAAATTGCACTAAATTCCCGCTTTTGAAAATAAGCACTCTGTGGAACTGATGGTGCCGGTTGTTGTGTTGTTGATGATCGGCAAAGTTCGTATAATCACAGAATAAATAAAATAAAACAAGTAGATATAATCGGGGGTGTACAGGAACGGGAGGCAGGTGCTCTTCAATGAATTGATTTATTGAACGTTTGTTGGTTATATTTAAGTCGTCTTATTGCTAACAGTGTGTATCAGGTAATAATCAAAATTTAAAACGGACAGATCTTATAACTAATTGCACGACGTGCTGTGATTGGTTGCTAACAATGACGAGCTCTGATTCGTAGCTAAAAGTTTGGTGTTCCGTTGCGTCGCTAGGCGGCGTTAGAAGTCGCGCCAACATGCCGGCCGCCTTGGAAGCTCCAGCTTCCAATGATGTATCTACGTTGCAGCTTGATTGGAGATACCGCAGGCTGCATTCATGTTGTCGTCCTCTGCTGATGATACAGGCAGAGGGCAGATTTTCGAGAACGCTCGTTGTACAGGACCCGTAGCAGTTTGGATGGTGGCGACACGCGACACGCCGTCTTTTCCGGGGAAAATATGGGTAACTCTGCCCATACGCCATTTAAGGGGTGGTAAATTGTCCTCCTTAATAACGACAAGCGTGTTTAATGCTATGTCTTGACTGTTCGCCTTCCACTTCATTCTTGTCTGAAGTTCAGCAACATACTCTTGTGACCAGCGTTTCCAGAAGTGCTGTTTTATTTGTTCCACTCTTTGAAACCGTTTCAAGCTGTGAGTACGTGCTTCGGTGAGGTCTCTGCAGGCTGGTGCAGTGAGTGGCCGGCCGATGAGGAAATGAGCTGGGCTTAGTGGACGAAGATCATGTGGATCTGAGGACATAGGACTTATAGGACGGGAGTTTAGGACTGCTTCGATCTGTGCCAACACAGTGCTGAACTCCTCGTACGTCAAGTTAGCGGTACCCACGACACGCTTAAGGTGGAACTTACATGATTTTACTCCTGCTTCCCACAATCCCCCCAAAATGAGGAGCATAAGGGGGAATAAATTTAAATTCAATATTGTCAGTTGATAATCTATCAATTATTTGCTTTGAATTTCGCTCTAACATTTTGTTAATCTCTTTCATGGCTCCAATGAAAGTTCTACCGTTATCTGAGAAAATTTGAGCTGGTTTACCTCGTCGTGAGATAAATCTTTTAAGTGCTAATATAAATTCTTGAGCAGCTAACGTACTGACAAGTTCTAGATGAATGGCCCGGGTAACAAAACAAACGAATATGCAAATATAGCCCTTTTCCAATTTAGCTCCCCTTCCTTTGCGACTCAGTACGTTTATGGGACCCGCATAATCCACTCCACATCGAATGAATGGGAAACCAGGTTCTATTCGTTCAGACGGAAGGTTGCCCATGATTGGTGTTATGGTTTTACCTTTCATTCGAGTGCAGCGAACACATTGGTGGACAACCTTTCTAGCTAGGTTTCTACCTCCTAACGGCCACCAATTCTCACGCACGGTGGCCAATAGCAGCTGGGGACCAGCATGAAGAAGCTCTTTGTGTTGATGTTGAAACAACAATTGTGTGAAGTTGTGTTTACTTGATAAAAGTATCGGGTGCTTCTTGTCGTAATGAAAGTCAGGCGAGTTACTAAGACGGCCACCTACTCTAATTATATCCCTTTCATCTAGAAATATATTAAGCCTAGAAATCGAACCTGAAGTTTTTAAAGGTAAGTTATGTTTTAACTTATCATATTCCATCGGAAACGATTCGCGTTGAGCAAGACGCGCTAACGACTGTAAGGAGTCATTCAATTCGTCTACTGATAACGGCCCCTGTGTACGATCTTTCTTTGGTGTGCGTAAGTTATGTATGTATCGCAACAGGTAAGCGCCGGCGCGCACGATACGCTGATAAGAACGAAACCTTTCAAAATTAATAATTTTATTCTTTGTTACATCACAAACCATAACCGTTGTCGTTTGTGATTTTAGTTCTGGTAAGTCGGAGTGTGTAGTCGAAGATTGCTGTGACCATGCCGACTCAGAATTTTTTAAGAACTCAGGTCCGCTCCACCACAGATTACTGTCAATGAGTACATCAAGACTAAGACCCCGCGAGACCAGATCCGCTGGGTTATTTTTGGTTCCTACATGTAACCATAACGCATTACTTGTTATTTCATTAATCTCCACTATTCTATTTTGAACGAATGTTTTTAACGAATGTGGTGACATACGTAGCCATCCAAGGACAATAGTTGAGTCTGTCCAAAAGTAAATTTTGTGGAAATTAACACGCAATGACTCGATAATTTTCCTATATAATCGTGCGCCTATTAAAGCCCCGCACAGTTCTAATCGGGGTATGCTGACTGGTTTAATTGGTGCAACTTTACTCTTTGCACACAATAATCTAACAGTCACCGATGAGTCATCAGAGTAGGTGCGAACATAATATGCGCATGCACCATACGCACTCTGCGACGCGTCCGTGAATACGTGTAATTCTATAAACTGTGTGTGTGCGCTCATAACATGACGCGGAATACGTAGGTTATGCAAATATTGAAGTGTGTCAATAAATTTTTCCCAGGATAAAGCAACATCACTGGGAACGGGATCATCCCAATTTATCTTGCACAACCACACTTTTTGCATCAATATTTTAGCTACTACGACAGCCGGTGTTAAAATTCCTAGAGGATCGTATATTTGTGCGATTATCGACAACATTGTACGTTTATTTAGTAAATTCGGTCTAACTACTCGTGTGGTAAAATGAAGTTCATCACTTTTATTATACCAACCCACTCCTAAAGTCTTAGTTTGGGAATGTTCTCCTAATGACAAGTCTTTAGATATGTCGTGGTCACTGATATCAACGTTAAACAACCACTTACGCAACGGTAAACAAGCCGAGTTTAAAGTATTTCGTAACTTCTCACAGGTATCGAGTAAGCTATTTAAATTATTGTCACCTAGGATGATGTCATCAACGAAAAAATCCTCTCGGATTACTCTCGCAACCTGCTGATCCTTACATTCCAGCGCAAGCTGACGTAAACATCTCATACTAAGGTATGGCGCAGACGCAGTGCCATACGTCACGGTGTTTAGGCGATATACACGTATTGGGTCCGACGGAAGTTTACGCCATAATATCAATTGTAAATCTCGTTGATCTGGTTGTACAAGAAAATTCCGAAACATTTTCTCAACGTCCGCACAACCCACGTATTTATATTGCCTAAAGCGTAATAAAATGCTAAAAATGTCATTCTGAAGTGGTGGACCAATATGTTGAATATCGTTCAACGACTTACCGGACGACGTCGCTGCGCTTGCATCGAAAACAGTGCGCAGTTTAGTCGTACTGCTATTTTCGTTAATAACGCCATGATGCGGCAAAAAATAGTGGGGTGACTCATAAGTGTCAACGCAACTCATATGACCGAGCCTTTCATATTCCCCCATAAAATCTACGTATTTTTCCCAAAATTGTGGCGAACGAGCGAATTTTCGTTCTAACGACA